TAGAGTTTTAGACTTTTTACAATAGTGGACTAATACAGTATTTGTCCTGTGATTGTCTTATTTCACTCAGCATAATGTCCTTCAAGTTCATCCATGTTAAGCAGTGTTTTGCAGATTCTACATTATTCTTTAGGGTTGCATAGTATTCCATTGTGTGTATGTTCCATAGTTTGCTTATCTGTTTCTCGATTGATGGGCACTTAGATTGCTTCCATCTATTTGCTATTGTGACTAGTGCTGTGATGAACATGGGTGTGCATATATCTGTTTGTGTCCTGCTTCTCATTCCTTTAGGATATATACCTAGTAATGGAAATGCTGGATCAAATGGTATTTCTATTTCCAACTTTTTAAGCAATCACCATATGATTTCCTCAGTGATTGTATTATTTTACAGTTCCACCAGCAGTGTATAAGAGTCCTGATCTCTCCACATCCTCACCAGTGTTTGCTATTTTCTGTCTTACTGAACTTTGCTATTAATGCTAGGGCGAGATGGTATCTCATGATTGTTTTGATTTGTATCTCTCTTAATAGCTGATGATCACAAACATTTTTTCATGTGTTTGTTGGCTGCCTGAATATCTTCTTTGGTGAAGCGTCTGTTCATGTCTTCTGCCCATTCCTGTCCCCCCTTTATTTATTTATTTATTGTGATTTGGGTGAAAGCTTACAGATCAAATTCACTTTCCATATAGCAGTTCACACATACTTTGTCTCATAACATTGACTACAATTTACCACAATGCAACAGCTCCCCACCCACTTCCTCCCCATAGTTACCACTTTCCTGTGTCCATCCCTCCATGCACTCCTGCCCCCTGAGCTGTCTCCCTGTGCATAAGCAGCCCTTCTTTCTCCCATGACTGTTCTCTCCAAGGAGTGTATATACCTAGTGTAAATGTTCACCTCATATTTGTGTCTTTTATTTGGCTGGAAGTCACAGGTGTGGGTTCTGTTCTAGACCTGAAGGGCAGCTAGGGGCCATAGTCTCAGTGGTTCCATCAGGTTCTATCAGACCAGCAAACCTGGTTCCCCCGCCACCACCGCTTTGTTTTTTTCCCAAATGCTTTTGAGTTTTGTTCCACATTGTTCTCCCTCTCTATCCAGGATCTCCTACATAGATCCCCTCCAAGTGGTTGACAGTGGTAGCCAGGCACCATCTAGTTCTTGTGGTCTCATAGTCATATAGGCTGTGGATTGCATGGGGTACCAGTCATTTGGATTGTTTCCATGAATCTATGGTGTTCTTCATTCTTCTTTGCTCTGGATGAGGAGAGACCCATGTTGCATCTAGATGGCTGCTTTGCAAGCTTTTAAGATCCCAGTTGCTACTTGCCAAAGTAGGAGGTGGAACAATGTTTTGTGTAGTGTGTTATGCCAATTAAGCTTGATGTGTCCTGCGACTATGGTCCTGAGCCCACAGGTTCAACTACTCGCTCCCTCTGGGTAGCTGGCTGTGACCAAGAAGTTACCTTGTCCCTTGTCAGCTCTACTATACACCCGGGAATTCTTACAGAACATACAAATACACTTCTAGAACCATTGTCTGCCAACCCTATACATGGTCTTGGGTACACTCCCTGCTGCATAGACATACCTATTAGTTCAGCCTGTCCACCCATCTATCTACCCATATACCCATGTTTGCCTTCACTGACAACCTTCTGCCTATTTTTAAATTGGATTGTTAGTCTTTTTGATGTTGAGGTGTTGGAGTTTTCTATATATTTTAGAGATAAGTTCTTTGTCTGATATGTCATTGTCAAATTTTTTTTCCCATTCTGTAGGTTCTCTTTTTATTCTTTTGGATAAATTTTTTTTGCATAAAAAAAATCTAATTTTTACAAGGTTCCGACCAACCATCTTTGTGCATCTTGAGTTATGCTTGATATTCTATTTATGCCACAAATGAGGGCCCCTAAGTTTGCCCCTATTTTTTCTTTGATGAACTTTATAGTTTTAGTCTTCACATAGTTTTAGTCTTTGATTCATCTGGAGTTAGTTTTTGTGTATGGTGTGAGGTATGGATCTTGTTCAATTTTTCTGCATATGAATATCCAGTTTTGTCAGAACCATTTGTAAAAGAGATTATCTTTTCCTAATTTAATGGGTTCCAGCCCTTTGTCAAAATTCAGTTGACCATAGGTCGATGGATCGATTTCTGGGTTCTTAATTCTGCTCCATTGGTGTATGTGTCTGTTGTTGTACCAATATCAAGCTGTTTGGACAACTGTGGCTGTGCAGTAGGTTTTGAGATCTGGGATTGTGAGACCTCCTACATTGTTCTTCAATAATACTTTGCTTATCCTTGGTCTCTTTCCTTTCCATATAATATTAGTGATTGGTTCTTCCATGTCTTTAAAGAATGTTGATAGAATCCGGATTGGGATTGCATTGAATGTATAGATTGCTTTGGGTAGTATTGACATTTTCACAATGTTCAATCTTCATATCCACAAGCATGGTATGTTCTTCATTTAAGTAGATCTCTTATAGTTTCTAGAAGTAGTGTTTTACAATTTTCTTTGTACAGGTCTTTTGTGTTCCTGGTAAGATTTATTCCCAAGTATTTTATATCTAGGTGTTTATCTTTTTGGTAACTATTGTAAATGGTATTGATTTCCTTTTCAGAGACCTCTCTGCTGGTGTAGAGGAATCCAACTGATTTTTATGTTGATCTTGTATCCTGCCACTATGCTAAATCTTTCAATAAGTTCCAGTAGTTTTCTTGCTGAGTCTCTTGGGTTTTCTATATATGTTGTTGTTGTTATTTGCTGTTGAGTCGGACCCGACTCCTAGCGACCCCTCCTTGGGTTTCCGAGGCAGTATCACTACGGAAGTAGGATTGCCCAACCTTCCTTCCGAGGAGTGGCTGGTGGGTTTGAACCACCAGCCTTCTGGTTAGCAGTCAAGTGCCTTAGGCACTATGCTACCAGAGCTCCTCTCTATATAGGATTATATAATCTGCAAATAGGAGCTCTGGTAGCATAGTGCCTAAGGCACTTGACTGCTAACCAGAAGGCTGGCGGTTCAAACTCACCAGCCAATCCTCGGAAGGAAGATGGGACAATCCTACTTCCGTAGTGATACTGCCTCGGAAACCCAAGGAGGGGTCACTATGAGTCGGGTCCGACTCGACGGAACATAACAACAACAACAACAATCTGCAAATAAGGATAGTTTTACCAATTTGGGTGCCTTTTATTTTGGCAGGAGGGGTTCTTCAAGAATGTCCAGCTCTTAAGAGCTTAGTCATTCATTCAAGCAAGCCTTTATTAAGCACCTATCATAGGTTTCATGGGTCGTAGTTCAGTGATAGACTTCTCTTAGCACTCCATTCTGCCCAGTGTTCTTCATGCACAGCCACTGTTGTTGTTGTTATGTGCCATCAAGTCGGACCCGACTCATAGCAACCCTTCCTTGGGTTTCAAATACTTTAGGGACTACACTACCAGAGCTCCCTGCACAGCCACTACCCATCCCTTAATAGAGGCTTACTTCTTGTGATTCCACAGACACTAACAACATCTTATGTACCATGAAGTGTGGTAGGTACAGCTGGGATGTTGTAGTACACAAAGCACACAGATCCCTGCCTTGAAAAAACTCACAGCCTAAGTGGAACTAAAAAAACAAAACCCATTACCATGGAGTCTATTCCGATTCGTAGTGACCCTACAGGACAGAGTGTTGTTATGTGCTGACAAGTCGGACCCAACTCATAGTGACCCCTCCTTGGGTTTCCCAGACAGTATCACTAGGGAAGGAGCTCTGGTAGCGTAGTGCCTAAGGCACTTGACTGCTAACCAGAAGGCTGGTGGTTCAAACCCACCAGCCACTCCTCG